TTTTTTTAGGTTGGTAGCAACGTAGACTTGTTCATAATATTGCTAGCATTGAAAATGTCAATTTTTATTCTCCGTTTGTGTATCTAATTAGTCAAGAGTCCCGTCTCTTATTTTATATACTCTTTGACACACTATATGGACTTATATACTCTGCACTACACTAGACAATACCTTACTACTCTTTGACTAAAGCGGAGGGTTGACTTTTCCAAATAAGATATGACCTAAAGGTCTATGTTACCAGGTCATAAAATAAAAAAAAATAAAAAGTTGACTTGGTTTGACTTTGATTTGCTTGTTTCTGACAAGACAACCACTCTATAGTATACTTATTATACTCTTTGCAACCACTTTGATTTTAAAACTTGCTTTTGCTCCTTGCTTGAAAAGTAAATGAAAGTAATGAAATAAGAATTGAAGATATTATTGAATTTTATATAAATCATTTGAACCTACATTAGCAGATCTGCATATTAGTTGTAAAGTAAATATTTTAGTTATGTCATACCAATTGTACAGAAATACTACAATCGGGAATACGCTTCAAGAAAGCCTTGATGAACTAATACAAGTAAGTAAATCTTTTTCCAACTTGACTTTTGTAGTAAAAATATTTTTAGACCGTTAAAATTCCGGCAGTAACCAAAAAAAACATGGATACAAAACCTACGCCAGTGGTATACGAATAAGACATCACCAATTAGGACAGCGATGAATAAATACCAATCTTATAGACTATACAAGAAGCAGATCTGTTCCTTAAAATTTTAACAATGTTATAGTGTCTTTATTTTTTTTTCAGTATGGCCAAATAACTCCCAATCTAGCAATTAAAGTTTTATTACAGTTTGATAAATCTATTAACCAAGCACTTTCAAACAGAGTTAAGTCTAGGCTTACATTTAAAGCTGGAAAATTGAATACATACAGGTAATCTGAATTTATACTTTAAACTTTAGTGAAATTATGCGCAAATAAAGATAAGAGCTATTTAAAATAATTGATACATTTTGTGCTTTTCACTTTGTATAGATGCAATTAACATATTACATGGTACAAAAATTGTTTCATGGTGGCATTGAATCTGTTAACAGTTTGTATGTATTAGTCAAGTAAGACCTTTTGTGAATGAAGATAATTGGTTTTATACTTTCCAGTAGATTTTGTTTCATGTAGCAATTGAGATTAGACTCTTCCTAATCTTACTTCTTACTAATATTATAAATGGAAATGTTTAGATGGATGGATGTTTGTATGAAGGTATATCGGAAATGGCTGCATGGTTCTTGCTGAAATTTGGCATAGATGTAGAACATGTCTGTAAGAACAAATATTAACTTTGTTTTTAATTCTTTCCAGAAGGAGTCGCGGGTGACAGCTAGTTAGATATACAATTATTGATGAAAATTTGATTTGAATGTCATTAAAATATTTGCTTATTATTGCAGGTTTTGTGATAATGTGTGGACATTCATGTTAAATGATGTGGAGTTCAGGGAAGTTCAAGAAATAGCCAAAGTGGATAAAGTGAAAATTGTTGCTTGCGATGGTAAAAGTGAGTACCAAAATTAATTACCTCATGGAACATTATTATTATAACCAAATTTTAAATATTTTATGTTGAGATGCTCAAAGTTGTTATTCTAAGTCGTAAATAATAAGACCCAAGACCAACCCTAGTGTCCCAAATGAAAGTCTTTGAGTTGTGTGTGTTGCCAGTGTTATCCTATGGAACTGAGATGTAGCTCTCGCTGCGGGCTTCATTTGACAGCTTAGAGTTACAGGAAGGGTAATTCTCAGAATCTCTGCTATATTGCACCAGAAATGGTGTGATCTGACCAGAGAATGGATGTAACTGACATTGCCCGAATAATTGTAAACTTTAAGTGGCTATAGTCTGAACAGATTACTCTTAGAACGGATAGTCAATAGGGCCGCAAAATCCTAAAAAGGCGGCCACGGACGTAGGTAGGTCTTCGGCAAGATGGTCTGTTGTTCAAGTCAAGATTGAGGGATTACCTGGATGCGAGTAGCACAAGATTGTTCAACTTGGCGTTTTTTTCGGGGAGGCTTATGCGCAGCAAGACAGATGTCTTTATTATTTGTCATTTCTTTTCCAGATGTTGATGATAGAAGATAATTATAAATATGGACAAAGACAGTTACTATTTTTGTATTTGGCATGGTGGACAATTTTGCTTGAACTACTTGAGCAAATTTCTTGACCTTATGATGACGCATGCACTGATTAAATGATTTACATAACTTATGTTGTATTTTAATTGAAAAATATGACAAAATGTTGCAAAACTTTTAACAGGTATCCTCGTAACACATTAAATCATGCAAATTTTGTGTGACTGTAACAAACTGTGCACTAATCTGCAGGGCATCTGAAGCTTGAACAAGAATTTCTTACTGAACCTACCACTGAGGAGCAAGTTAAGTTAAGTTGCTCAATGGACTTGTATTAGTTTAAAATATTGAAGAAACTTAGTAACTTATAAATAAAAAAGTCACATATGTGAATGAAATTTTTTTAATAGCACATTTCTTACAAAACCGATTTATAAGCTTTACATATTTTATACAATACTCATTTTCTTCAAAACAGATCTTTATAAACTTTAACAAAATATAACTTCTAAAGAAATATACAAAATAACTATTTTTTTCTTTGCAATTTTATATGATTGAAAGTAAATTGTTTCACAGCACATGAAACCCGTAACCATTTATTGTGTAATCATCAAGAAATGTTTTAAGACTAAGATTTCACAAATCGCATTATTTAGCATATTAAATGGATAAAATTCAGATTATTGATGTTAGTTTTGTTTCTGAATAACTCAATTACCAACAAACATATCAATTGATATTTGAGTTTATAATTTTTTTTTATCAATATAGGTATTAAAAGACATTAAGTTTTTTTCCTTAAATATTAGTTGAATGTTTCATAAAATGAGAAGTATCAATAATTTCAAACAATTTATTAAACAAATAATTTTATATACATTATCTATCTTCTGTTAAATGGATACAAAATTATTATACATACATGTGCGATGCACATTCCCAATGTATTTTAATACCTAGCCACAGCTATATCAAACAAGTCAATTAAAAATTATTTATCACTAATTATAAACAACAATAACAACCAAAAAATATTAAGCATTTGGTTTTTATCATGTTTGTGCGATAAAAGAAATGAAAGCACATTTTATGTCAAAAGTTTATGAAATTTCGCGTACTAATTTTATTTAGAATGAAGTTATTCAGATTAATATAGGCTACCTTTTCCCTTCCTAATGACCCCTCCCTTACTCCAGTCCCTTTTAGTACACATATTACAATATAATGTACAAATATTTATGGCTACCTAATAATAAAATTCCCCTATAAATCTTGCATACAACAAAAACATCGATTAATGTAACGCTTTTCCGCTAGGTTACCCGTAATCGGTCACAATAACGCTAGCTTGATTTTGTAACGAAATAACCGTTTACGATAACGCTTATGGATACTGCTATCCTAAACCCGCTACCGTAAATACAAGAAATCAAGAAGGAACAAAAGATTTGTCCTAAGATACATATGTCAGAATACAATTAGAAAGCTATGTTAAAGGTACAAGTGGCGTTTTACAATGATGCTAATTTCCACCTACATACGATAAATCTATGTCAAATATATGTCTTATTTTACGCAAAATACGATGGTGGTGAGGTGAGGTCGGAGAGTAAGTCTAGTTCCTCTTCAGTGAGCTGGTCGCGATGCTTTTGCCAGTCGTCCTGGTGCGTCCTCCTGAAGTCTGCAAGTGAGGTGCGTATTGTGGCGGGAATGGGGTCGGGTGCTCCGGTGTGCCGTGCCAGCTCTGCCAGCACTAGACCGAGGCGCGGGCCCAGGCTGTAAGGGCGCGAGGCGAGGTACGCGCACAGGCCCAGTACTCCACGGTGCTTCTCCACCAGCTCCTTCGACCGGCAGCTGCGTGCCAGCAGCTGCAGCGTGCGCTCCTCGTCGGGCAGCGCCTTGCAGTGCATCAGACCGGTCAGCAGCTTGGCAGCCGTTTGCCTTACCTGAAAGTTTAATATTTGTATAATAAAAATAAAAAGATTGTTTTACGGAAGGAAGCCGAGGTATTTCTGAGGTTGTGGGCATAAACAATTAACACCAACCTCGAGTCTTCTGTCCTTCATGAGCGTCAAGGCGAACTGTTCCGCCTCCTTGGCGTAGTCCTCGTTCGCGCAGAGCACGGGCAGAGCGTAGAAGAGCAGCGGCTGAGCTAGCTCGACGCACGCGAGCCGAGCCCACCAGGAGCGCGCGACGGCCAGCGAGCGCAGAGTGCGCAGCGCCTCGCAGCAGGTGTCGGGCGCGTGCGGGGCGCAGGCGAGGCCGGCCAGCAACCCGCCCGCAGCGCGGCCCAGCTCCTCATGAGGCTGCAGGGGGCCGCGAGTCGCCGCCGCGCACGCTATGCCCACTATGCAATATTGTGCGTCCACGTGGTTGCTCGAGCCTCGCACCACCAGCCCCATACAGCCGCGGAGCACTACAATACATTATTCAGTTTGTAAAAAGCATTAACAGTTGTATATAGACTATCAGTCAATAGTTATTATGTATTTGTACCTGTAGTGAGCAGGTTGACCGCGTTTGCGTGGTCCGCTGGCGTAGCAGTAGTGGCGGCGGCAGGTGGGGGCGCGGCGTCTCCCGCCAGGCGAAGTGAGGTATTCAGTTGCTCCTCTAGCTGCAACTCCAGCACTTCACTGCCCTCACCTTCCGCCTCGCCCTCCGCTTCGTCTTCCACCTCCGCCTCGCCTTCGCCCTCGCCGCTTGCGCTCGTACTCGCCTAACACACAACATAATAAACCTTAATTTATATATTTCTTAACGTTGATTACAACAGTAATCATAATATGACACCATTCACGCATATCTTTAATTTCTTAAGGTACCTGTGCGGCGACGTCATGCGGTGCGTGCGTTGCGGGCAGCAGCGCGTGCGCACGCCCAGCTCGCACGGCAGCGCGCGCCGGCAGCGTCTCCATACTGCCACCCTGCACACTGCACGGCATCGTGATCGTCGCCACGCTTTTTACCACTGTGTACAACAATATAAAAAAATACAAATAAAAAGCTGAAACTGATGGCTGAGTTAATAAAACCCTAGTATCATATCGTCAACATTTCTCGCTTTTGAGCATTATATTGAGATATTCAAATATTTTTGCGGCTGGAAATCACATGAGTCTCTGTTCAGAACGTAGATGTAGTACACGTATGTGTACGTGGGGAAAGGGGCACTGCGCAGCGCATAGATTATATTAAGTCGCCAAAATATTTGAAAAGACAAACATATTCCATCATACAGATATAATATTTGTACAGACCTATGTCCCCGTGCTCATCGTAAAGTGCGGCAAGACGCGGCCGTACAGAGCGCAGGAAGTGCTCCAGCCGTGGCGCCGGCCCGCTATCCCCGCCAGGGAACACCAGCTCCGTATCAAATATCGTCATTAATGCACTGCAATTGTAACGGAAAAATTATTAAAAATCACATAAACAATTTCATGTATTGATAATTTCATAATTCTACAGACAGTTCTAAAATATTTTTTCATTGAATTATACATATACATTTTACGCCATTGTCTTTTAATGAACGTATACATAAGTATAATTAGAATGTTAGTCACCTGCCAACAGTTTCCCGCACGTTCTGGTAGGGATGTTGTATGAAGTTGGTGGACTCCAGTCTCTTGAGGAGCTCAGCTGCGAGTGGTGCCGCACGCCATGTCAGTGTGCCTAATGCACCCTGCGTTATAATAATAAACAACATTAAAATTTCACCAATATTCTAATGTTTTAGATTGACGGATGGATGTTTTTAAAGGGTATCTCCAGAACGGCTCGATGAATCTTGATGAAATTTTGCATATGTATATATAATCTTGAAGAAAACATAGGCTACTTAAAACGTTGTCTTATTCCGCGGATGGAGTCGGGGCGAAAGCTAGTATTACACTACTAATATTTACACGACTAGCTGTCACCCTCGACTCCGTCCGTGCGGAATTAAAAAGACTTATTTAAGTAGCCTTTGTGTTCTCTCAAACTATGTTTTACTTCCATGACAAATTACATCGAGATCCGTTCTAGAGAAACCTTCAAACAAACATCCATCCATGTTAACAATGGCATTTATAATATGTATTAGTAAAAAGTAAGATTTTATTTAACACTGACCTGCAGCGCTATAAGTCGTGCACAGAGCACGAATGAGGCCTGCTGGTCGTCAGCTGTGCCGTCAGTGCTCTGTGGTGCGCAGAAGTCGAGCAGTGCGGAGAGCACGTGCCCGCTGCGCCGCGGGTCCAGCTTGTCCACGCCAGTCGCCAGGCACGTGCCCCAATCCTCAATTGTCTCCGCAGTCACCGCGGTCAGACCTGGAAAGTATACGTCAATGTGGTTTTAGCAATCACTATAAGTTGATTTTAACAAAGATACACTACTTTTGGGTTGGAACAATTACATGAGATTCTGGTTCTGTGCGACAAGCAGGGCTTCGGTAGAAAAAGCATTTGTTTTTGGTGGACCTAATTTGCTGTTTCCATACATAAAGCAGACGAATCATTTATAACTCCAAAATTAAACTAATTTCGTTGTCAAGTTAAGTAATCTGTGATTTTATTTGATAAAATTTCAACTAGATTTATAGATGATGCTATAAAAGTATGTCTAACAAGTTCATACACGAAATAACCGTAGTGACATGGGTTGTAACTGACCGGCTTTGATAATATCTAGCGCAGTGTTGTGCATGAGACGCGCGCGTTGCAGGGGCCAATAGCGCGGCGCGGACATGGCGGCCGCTGCCACCTCGGCCGCCAGCCGCTGCGGCGCCTCCTGCGGGTCACTAGCGCACCGCAGCGCGTGCTCGAAAAACTTTGACGCTATCCTCTCGCCGAAGTGAGAGAATAATAACTGTAAAATTTATGTAAGGTAAAAATAAGCGCCTAGTAAGTTTAAATAGCAATTTCTTAAACTGACACTATTGGATTTGCTTTTCTTTCTTAACAGGCGTTACGTGTGGCATTATGCAATATCAGAAGTTATTTGTTTTTTCATATAAATTTCTAAATGACGTAAAACTGTGATATATTGCAGTTGTTATTGTGTAAGTAATTAATTTAGAATTATAAATATTTAGAATTGAAAATTATATTTGGTGTATGTTAAAACTTACTTTAAATAGAACAAAGCGGACGCCGTTGAATTTGTCTTTTCCCTTTTTCTCTTCCACAGTAAGGAAAGCGACGAGACGGTCCACGTTTGCCTCGTCATAGAAGAATTCAAATATATGTCGCTCTCCATCCTCCATGTCTTCTACCTTCTGTTCTGTGAAGAAGAACTGCTGATGCGATGGTGCTGCCACCTGGAATTAATAATTAATATTCACATTTGTATAATTCCAAATAGAAAACGTGCCATTATTTAATAAAAAAAATCATTTTTTAACTGAAAATTGCCGAATTTTATTTACAAATACGAAAACCTCTTTTTTTAAATACCTACCTCGAGCCTTTCCGGCCAACAGTAGAATCCGTAGTGAGATTTCTTAAGCCAGGGTCTGTCCCACTCCTCGTCGGTCTGCGGCACGTAGTCTTTATCCCACATCACCCACTCCAGATCTTTTCTGTAACCTGAAATAGATACATTGTCATATGTAAATTCTAAACCATAGAAAAATTACAATTTATCACTGAGTCTCGTAAATTCCATAATATTTTTAGTTCAACACTTTTTCTCACATTAATATAAAACATTATCTATCCTTATTTATCTTATTAGCTTTTAATCGAAATATAGTTTACAGTCGAGGACATTTATTTCCTACCCAGTACGGTAAGATTGATTGATTTGACGCTCTAGTGTGAATTTTGTATGATTTCACTGTACCTGGTACGTGTACTTTTGGTTTGGGTACGCCTGCGACTTGGTACGGATCTACAGTCATCTTGACGACCTTCTTCTTTCGTTGTCTGAGACAGAAGGCAACAAGGCGTTGTGCAGACCGGCGTACCGTAATGTCGTCGTGTACCAACGCTTGTACCATGAAGTGTACCGCGCGCGGCGGGTACGCAGTTTGTAGAGATGAGCATGATGTTAGTATCTGCATTATCAGCTCCAAACGACGCCACGGCCTATGGAAATAAAAAAAAACTAATTAAATTGTAGTTAAATCAATGAGGGCTTCAATTTATATTCCTTTTTAAATTGGCTTATTATTTTAAAATTTGCTTTGTAATTGTATTGTAATTCGATGAATACAAACATCATAACAAAAATGAATATTTTTATTGTTTTATCCCATATTTGTTTTATTTTTCGAACCAATGTCACTTCTTTTAGACATTATTAGTTAGAATCCTTTGGCGCAAATGGCAAATTACCAAATCAAGTGTCAGAATGATTAGTGAGGGGACATATGCGTTGATATTTTAATAAGGCTAGTGTTGCGCCGATACACCGGCACAGTGTCGGATTTCCTTCTTAACACTACTAAATATTTTATCGAGCGGCATTAAATTGTAAAAATGTTTAAACCTTATAGAATGGAAGCACTTACAAATTAGGCGATGAGGCTATATCAATTAATTCGTCCATAAAATCTCTATACAACTTCTCAGTGTCATCCGAAACCTGATCCTCTCTCGTCTCGGCTACTTCCAGCATCTTTTTAAACTCGGTTTCGCTCATTTGATTCTCATTTAGGAAGTACTTTGCCGCTTCGCAAGCTCCTTGCGATATCTTCAAGCGAGTGTTTACTGTTGGAAAGTTTCTGTGTAATGTTTCACCAAATGCTTGCTCCAATCTGAAAGATAAATAATAAATTACAATTACTGGGTCCATCTGCATTTGATACAGTTTTTTTATTATTCAAATCAATAAAAACGATTTTTTAAGATTTGGCATTTTATTCACGAGGGTTTTGGTTTAAATTAAATAAAAAAAAACAGTGCTTGTTAAAAAAGACGCCTGTAACATCAATCCTTATTTTTCCTAACATCAAAAAAAAAATTTAAAGAAGGAAGTAAATTTGCAATGCAAAATTTATACCCTATTAGCTATCGCCTGGGACAATCTGCGCGGTATTAAAAAACTGAATTAGTAGCCTATGTTCTTCCAGGTTGTGTTCTACATCTATGCCATATTTCACCGAGATCTCTTAAGCTGTTGTGGGGATACCTTCAAACAATCATCCATCCATACAAATATTCGCATTTATAATATTAGTAAGATATAAATACTAGAACTTACTTCATGATGCTCGGTTTCTCACTGAGTGGTGCCTTCAGTACCGCGAGGGAGAGTTCCCGTACGACATGCCAGTCCTGTTTGGCGATGAGTGGTCCAGCGCGAGGGCCCAGCATGATGAAGAGGGCGCCCTTGTGCCGCGCGTGCCACTCGTCTCCCTCCCCGCCCTCCGCCAGCAGCTGCACCAGCCGCGGCAGCAGCGCGCGGTACGAGTACGGGTAGTGGCTCAGCATCCAGTACAGACGGATTTGTGATAGTACGCGCACCTGGTTGTAAAATATTTTTTTTATCTGCCGTTAGAAAAATCGGTCGAATATCAAGTGGAAATTTTAAAAACAAAAAATCTGACTATTTTTTTATTCTATTTACTAGTGTCAGTAGGCCGCGACTTCGTCCGCGCAGAATAAAAAAAATCTAGCAATATAGTCTATGTTTTCCGGGAATAGGTAGTTCCCCAACAGTAAAAGAATTTTTAAATTTGGTTCGATAGTTTCGATACCAGTTCAATGCAAACAATCAAATTTTTCCTGTTCATAATTATAGTATAGATGATTCGATCAATGAGATAAAGTGAAATCAATTGATTAGAAAATAAAGTGTTTCTTTTTATTAGTACATAAGTTACCCCAATATCTAAGTACGAAGTGAAATGTATTTACCGATGTGTAAGTATTGATGGATAGATCATACAAGGCGTGCAGAGCTTTCAATGCGGAGGGCGTGATGCCGGCCTCGCAGATGAGGTCGAAGCGCGCCTCGTCCTGTATGCGCGCGGTGTCCGCCAGCAGCGAGCGCAGCCGCGCGCGCGACCACACCGGCCCCGCCAGCCCGCGCCCGTCCAGCGCGCGCTCCATCGCGCTGTGCGACCTCAGCCGCGCCTCCAGACCCAGCGCGTACCGCCCCGGCTTCACCACCACCACGCGCTCCCATAACTAGAAACAAATATAAACCTTTTCAAATATCTTGGCAGCTCTAAACTCCCGCGTTTCTTTGTGTGGAACAAAATTTTAGGTGAATTGGCGCGTAGCGAGGGAAGAGCACTACGCAGCTCGCACATGAATTTGAAAAGACCGACATCAAGACTTTCCGTGTGTGTACATTTTTGTTTTTTTTTATTATTTTCATAATTTTGGTATTAAATAAATTACTTATCAAGTTAAGTTGCATATATATATGTAATATTTTTCTCTAGAGACCAAACTAAACTAACCTGTGTGAGCATTTCGAGTCCCCTGGTCTCGTCGGTGTCTGCAGCGAGCATCTTGGCCTGCACGTCCAGCAGCAGGGCGGCCATGGCGGCGCGCATGTTCTGCCCCTCCACCGTTATAGAGTGCGGCACGCCGTTTGTAAACGGTAGACTTGTAGGCGGCACTTGTGAATCCGTACTGATAATTATATAATAGAAATATTATTTATAGTAATAGTATTATTAATATATATTTATAGTAATATAGGAACGCATCTGATGATATAAAATAATAGCTAAATGAGGAGAAAATCTGCCTTTTGCTCACTATAGAAGTCAGCATTATCAATATTGGAAGTAGCACTAAATATTTATTTATTAAATACTTATTTAGTTGACGAAGTACTCTTGTAGGTAGTATGTTGTTAGGGATATTGCAATACTTACAGAATAACCGGCTCCTCGTCGTTGGGAGGCAGGAATGAGCTCGCGGAGAGCGTGGAGTAAATGATGTAGAAGCTCCTTAGCTTGCGGTCGCGGCACATGGGGCGCTCGTCTGCGAGCCACTGGCGCAGGCGGCGCACCTCGTGCATCAGGTAGCGGTCCACCAGCATCTGCGCGCACGCCGCCTCCTCCGCACTCGGCACGTGCCACTGCAGCTTCGCCTCGCTCATCAGGCAACCTCTCCCCCACTCCCGTACCGGCAGCCATTTCTGCGGCGCCTCGCTGTAGTCCTTCGGCGAACTCCTCGTCTCCTTCAAATCGAAATGCGACAGCGAGTAGAAAATACCTCCCAGAACCTCACAGGCGCGAGTCAGAGCGTATTTCGCGTGAATCTTCAGGATCCTGTCCAAGACCGGAATAAGATCGGACATGTACTTGAGCAGCACGGTGCCGTCGCATTGTACGAGGTTCATCAGCAGCACGAGCCGGTAGACGAGGTCGCGCGGCGGGTTCTCTTCGTGCAGCGCCTCGTCCGTCGCCAGGATCTCATTAAGTTCGGCGCACAGCGGCGGCAGGAAGGCGGCCAGCGTCGATTCGGCGTCGATACGTGCGAACACTCTCAGTAACACGCCCACCATGCTGCCCGACACGTTCGTCTCGAAAGTCGAGTCAGTCGCGAACGATTTAAACTTCCTCAGCGCCTCCTTAAATATCTTCGGGGAGCACTGCATCAGGACGCTGGTGGCGGCGGACGATATGGCCGTCTCAGTGACCGCGTCGGTCTTGCTTCTCATGCCTTCCGAGTCCTTGGTGTCGAGGCGGACGTGCTCCATCGCGCTCGACTCGATGATGATGAACAGGCGGTCGAGGAAGACGAGAACGAAGTCCTCCAGCTGGGCGGTCGACTCGCAAACGAGCAGCTCCTCCTCGGTGAGGTCCGACCAGTACTCGTGGGCGGAGCTGCAGTCTATGTAAGGTATCATGCTGCTGAAGATCAAAATGAAGTGCAAGGTGACCAGCGTCTTCTTTATATCGTTGGGGTCCAATCCGGGCAGGACGGCGAGGAGGAAGGGGACCGCATGCGTGGGTCCCTCCGGGTAGTCGACGTCACCGCCGCGCAGCATGGGACGAGCGACGGCAGCCACGGCGGACATGGCGGCGGTCACCCTGTGCGGCTCCGTCAGCGAGGTGAGGGAGGTCCTCAGCCTGTCCAGCAGGGGCGGGATGACGATGGCGGGCCGCATACTGGCCAGGTTCTGCAGCGCGATGGACACGTCGAGGGAGCCGCTGCGGCTGTACACGGCCTGAAGCGTCGGCTCCAGCATTATTTTTACAAATTCAGTGATGTCCTCCTCTCTTAGCTTTAACTCTGGTGGAGTTTTATTCTCCCAGCTCTCGAGGTACTTCTTTATGCGTTCTTTGCGTACTCTGTCGAATAATATTTTTTTTTTAATAAAGACTTAACAAAATGAGACAGAGGTGACTCGTGTTCTTGTTATATCAAATATAGATAAACGAATGAAGTTTCAATAGCCTAATGGTTAAGTGTACGGATTTCCGATCACGAGGTCGAGGGTTCGAATCCCGCCATTCAAATATTTTCGTAAACCATATCCTAGCACAAGTTTAGAGCTTATTTGGAATGGTTAAAGAAATATTAGTAAATTTACACAAAAATCTGCTAATATTTAAAAAAAAATAGACATACCTGTTTAAGAATTCGCGAGCTAACTTCCTGAGCAGATCTCTGAGCTTGAAGGACCAGCGGCCGGAGTTGGCGCTGTGCAGATAGCTCTCGATGCCTCCCAAGAAACTCTTGAGGTGTTTCAGCACCACGCCGTCAGGCCTAATGTTCCAAACTATCCATATAGCAGCTTGTTTGATGTCTACAAATTTTACATATAACATGAAAATTATAAGAAGTTAGTTACACACCAAAACAGAACACAAAAGTTAGTTACACACCAAGTCAGGATGTCGCCTTCTGTGTGATTTGTGTAAATAGATTAAAAATATTTATTACCTAAGTTATAATTCCTGCTGCACTGCATATCTTTGTAACTGACTGGTAAATTGAGCGAATGAAGTATGAACATGAACATTTTGGGTACATGAGGCGTCCAATCAACAGCGCCCGGGTTTCTTTTCGACAAATCAGCAAATAACGCTATCAATTCCTGCAAAGGTAGCATAAAGAAGCTATTAGTTTTCTAAACATGTATCTTCATCATCATCAGGTCACTATACGTCCCAACTGAGGTGCTCGGACCCTACCGTAAGTTAGGGGTGAATAGACCATAGTCAAACATGCTGGCCAAGTGCGGGTTGGTTGACTTCACACATATCTTTGAATTTCTTCTCAGATATGTGCAGGTTGTATTACGTTGTTTTCTATCACCGTAAGAACGTCGGATAAAAGTACATATACAAATCAGAAATGATATGCAAATCAGAAAAGATTCGAACCCAGGACCTGCAGATTGCAAGTCAAAAGCTTGACTCCTAAGCCACCAATGCTCTTATGAATGTTATTTTACTAATATTATAAATACGAATGTTTGTTAGGTTGTATCTTCAGAACGGTTGCATTCAAATTTGGCATAGATGTAGAACATAGTCTTGTAGTTTTATCCCTTCATCTGTCTAGACATCTAAAATTTAATATATTAGTAAGATATTAGACGAAAACTCACACTAATGCCAAATTGTGGACTAAAGCAGGTTTCCCACAGTTCAATAAGTTTATCAAACCATAGTTTATGTCCGTAGTCAGCTTTACTTGGAGGCAGGCCCACTGGTAGGAACAATGACAGCTGGGATACTGGATGTGAATCTGACGACCATGGTGATAATTGAGGTAGAAACTCTTCAAGAACCTCCTTTGTAGCATTCAAATGGAAATATCTGGAATTATTGTTTATGTTGAATAGATTTATTTAATAATATTCAGGTTATAACATAATATTAATCTTAAGAGCGTAGCTACTACAAATAAAAAAAATATTTTATAAGCAAAAATTCATTTTTTTTAGTAAAATAATACTTACGGTTTGGCGCAACTGATCATAGACAAGTAGGTTCCTTCTAGAGACCTAAAAAAAATTAATAATTTAAAATCTCATATAAAACATAAACAAATCCCCATGCAATTGCACAACCCAACCACCAGTGTGGCCTGACACCTGCGATTTGAATGATTCACGAACCAGACACCACAACCAGGTGAAGACGACAAATAGCAAAACCCTAAGAGCTCTGCCTTATTAAAAAACATGGCGACGTAAATAACAAAATATATAAATAGATACGATAAAATAACGTCGCAATTTGCAGGTGAGGCGACTTTATACTCTGGTGGCTTAAAAATACCCAAAGAAATTTATATTGCCCTTAACTAACTACAGATGTTCCTACGGTGAAGGAAAACATCGTGATGCAACCTGCACATATCTGAGAAAAATTCAAAGATATGTGTGAAGTCAACCAACCCGCACTTGGCCAGCGTGGTTGACTATGGCCTAATCACCCTTAACTTAGGGTAGGCTCCGAGCCCCTCGGTGGGGACATATAGTGAGCTGATGATGAATTACAGATGGACGCTAAACCACCTAGAATGCACTAACATCTAATATCAGCAAACAACAACATGTGAATTTAGCTTATTTTGTAATCATTTCCACCGGTGCGGCAAGAATCACATATCTAAGTGCTTGGCTTTTGACTAATAGTAGCCATATCAGTCTGGTGTTAACGCCGCCATGATAACTTAATAAGGTAGAGCTTTGCCAAAATTGCTAAAAGGAATTACGTTGGAAATTCAGATTCGTGTTGTGTCGCAAGTCCAAACAGATCAAGGGCGTCATCAAGCCCATAACCGGACAGGAATTTGCGAATCACGTCGAGCATATCTACACCTTGTTTCATAGAATGTTGCCTGAACAAACATAATTTATTTAATAAAATAAATACATAATAATATATCTCATATACTTAGTAAAGATTTTAAAAAATAATTTATAATATTAATTATTACATACTAATTATCATAGACCTGTGGTTTACCTCAAGGAAAAAATAATTGTAAATTGCTTATTGTTGAATTAAACTAAATGAATCGATAAATTTAAATTTTAAACCAATGTTTTAATATCAATAATCATTATTAATTAATAATTTAAAGCAAATCTTACCCCAAATAATGATACATTCCTATAGCTGTTTCACTTTTGTCAAATATTTTCTTTCCCATCTCGTACAGAGGGCGCCACGGGAGTGTTAGCTCTTCTGGTGAAATTAAATACCGCTTCCTGCAATACAAAGATGATACTACACTAAAGTCCTAAGTCTACAATTCCATCTGTCTCGCGATTACTGCTATATGCAATAGAAAATGTAGCCCTGCACTTTATTTTTAAATTTTAAGGTGGGGAATCTACAAAAAATGCTGCTTTATAGGGGAAAGACAGTGTTATATAAGACTTAACTCCCTAAAATCCCCTCAGTTGCCATCATTAAGTGCAAATGGTTAGAGTCCCGGGATCTCCTGAGGAATGCACCGGAACTCTCTGCTTGCTTCCGCACAAGCCAGGGGAGAGTAACCTCCTTGATCACATGAATGGCACATACAAATAAAATGGGTATAGTAAAATTATTATTATGTTGAACTTAACAGATTCAATGCTAATTCAATTTATTGTATGAAAGGTACATAAAATCTTAATTAAACTAGTGTGTTGTTAAAAGTTCCTAGATGTTTTAAAATACTTGTATAATGTTTATCTTACTTTGTGAGCATCAGAAACATAGTAGCAAACTTGTGAACTTTGCAAGGTTCAAGGTCTGGAATGAGGACAAGTTCAAATGCTAATTTTATCAGAGCAATGTGATCCTCTTTTGACATTTTCAATCCGTACAGCCTTAGGTACCTGAAAAAAATATCATATATGTATTTAATAAAATAATTATACTACATTGAAACACTTTATTCTAATTAGTAGTTTGTTGTGTACATTTTTATTTAGGCAGATTTAAAAAAAATCAATAATAAGTATACCCTACATGACCCTGTGATAAGTGTAGCTAGGAACTGATTTGAAAATTTTTTCACTGTTTGCCAACAGTAGTTCAGTAGTATCAGAACCTATTTAATGCAAACTAACGAACAAATCTTTCCTCAATGTAATGTATTAGTATAGATTAAGGAACTTTACATTACTCATACTTGTTAAGTTATACAGAATATTTAATTCTAATTTTTTCATTATAATTATTGCAATAGTAAAATATTAAAAGATTGTAAGTGAATTTTAAGCTCATGTGTGTTTAAACATGAAGAATAATCCTTTACATTTTTTTGAATGGATTATAATTTAATAATACATAGTTACATTACAAAGCATTTTAATTAATCCGACAAAATTGAACCTCAATTGAATATGAATGTTTATTTTTAGATCTATTTTAAACACAACTTTTTGTGCTACAAGGAATTTGTAAAAGTACTCAATCTTACATTTTGGCAATCAGCCAGTCTTCGGTTTTATAAATAATTGTTATGGGTTTATTCCTTCTATTCTATGTTTGTAATATTGATACAGATGTTTTTGTTGTTTGTATAATAAGTGGTCACAGCATTTGTGTACGCAAAATTAGATACCTGTGTTGTTATAATTAAAAATATTGTGTACAACTACATGATGTAATTAAAATAAATTAGTGTGTATTTTAAACAAAATGTAGTTCTATTTCATCCATTTATAATTAATAATTATAAACATCTAAATTATATTATTATTCTCAGCCTGTTCTCCTTTGTAAATTTTTAGCTCTTATTCTTTTTAAGAAAGAGAGGTTTACCCTCTCAAAAGATATTCTATCAGAGATATTTTACTTTTGTTTTGTAATCATAGAAATGGGTAATGATTTATGTTATTTCATTAAAGTGATGTAAGTGTATTTGATAAGATGTTGCATATATTTATGAAATGAAGATAATGTTTACTACAAATAATTACTATGACACATAGATGGCAGGTAACAAATTGTATGTCATGGACAAAGAGTGACGGAGGCCAGGTTTTCATTACAGGAAGTTCTGGGCTATGGCCAGTTATTTCTGAACTCAATGCATTGCCAAAGGTTAGCGTGAAACTATAGCATAGACACAAATGAATTTTATATTCAAACACTATGTACTGACTTCATGTTAATAGTTAATTTGGATGATTTTATAAACAATAGATACTGTTTTTTTATTTGTGTACATTGAAAGACATAAAATGTATTGGTATTACTTATTTTAACAATTTTTTATTAAATTTATACTTACAAAAATTTGTTTAATTATTATATTAGACACTACAAAGTACTTAGGGAGACTGTGAGATATTAATCAACATTAGTTGTTTTTCTTTTGCTTTGATCTAATACATTTCAGCATAAAAACATACCCAATGTTATTGTAAGTTCCAGGAAAATGAAAAGTACAGGTTTTTATTACTATGATCACCTTACATATTGAAATTGTAATGTAACTGTTCCAGATAGTAAATTAACCACTACTCCACTCGCACAAATATTTAAAAAATTGTGTGAACTGAGTTTCAAAACTTATTGTTTTAGATTATCATACTAACTTAACCATTATTCAGGTAATATTCAATTGAACATTTACTTGAATAAAAGTAGTATCTAGCTTGGTACATCATATTGGAGAATATTTTTAAACAGTTCAACTTCAAAAACCATTGTCATGATCATAACTATTCGATTTATTAATGCAAAATACTCACTTCATGAGCCTCGAAGACCAAACTCCGCATGAAGGTTTCATTTCGCGCAACATCACTGACTTGGCTAGATTTACCTTCACTTGTTCGAGGAATTTTGTGGACTCTTCATCCAATGCAGAAGCATATGGTAGTAGGTGATTGACCAGAAGTTCTTTCTGAGGCTTGAACCCCAGAGCTTTAATACGCTCTGGAGACAGCGCCTGTTCATCATACTCCTCGTCTTGAATCATCTTGGAATATTTTCAATAAAATATGGAATTTCACTAAATTACGACCTGTGATAATCGCAACATTACCGTAACCATTGAAGTAACAAACACACTGAATTATTATTCACTGTCTACGTATTATAAATGGTGGAATCAATAATGAAACATTGAATTTTTACAAGTCATGTAGATTTCTTTACGAAAAGATTTATACGATTTTAATGAAATTCAGTAGCATACGTTCCTTTTTACGATATTTTATAAATTGACGTTTTAAATAAATATGCAATGTCACGTCAAACTGATCGTATTGGAATAATTCCGACTAATGCATATTTTGTGTATATTTGAGATTAATATACACAAAGTATGCATATTAATTTGATATACACTCTGTTAATATATGTGTAAGCCAAAACTTTTAAAATCTGCTTAATTATTTTGTAAAGGAAAACCAATAACTTAGCTCTGCTATCGCCTTAGGCGAAATTTCTAGTCCCCAGTTTTTTACTATGTCTTTGGGCGGTTATCAGGGTTAATTGTGACTGTGTATGCGCAGATCTGTGGCGCCCCTTGTTGTTCAGCGCCCTAGCGACCGCTCAACCGCGTCTTATTGTTACGCCGGGTCTCATGGGCACAAAACATCGCTGCTTATAACCTGCCCATGTATAGAGGTGGGTTCATGATATCACCGTTGGCTAATATCCATTCCCTGACATTAAATGACACCCGGCTCGATGGCATTGTCTATCGCTAGCCCAGGTTTAATCTGACGCACTAATCGAAGGTCCAACTTACATAGTCATAGCAGGGATACAGGATTATGATTCAGGTAGTTTGATAAGCTGTTTCATTATTTCCAAATAATTTAGAAAAAAAATTACATGCGTTTTTGCACATTTTATTAAAAAATTAATACAGAGTATAATAAGTATCCGTTTTCAGAACGGCGATAACGTTTATAAGCTGATTTCAAATCTATTGCATAGACTAAACATATAAATATTAACAGGCACAAATTCATTAAGGTGTGCATCTTCCAGTGGAGTGGACTCATACTGGTTAAGGATGATAATAAAAATATTAAATTCTTACCAATACCAAAGCCAATGATAGTTAAAATTTTACATGTTGTATAAAAGAAGACTAATATCTTTATGGTTACATAAAAGTATCGAACGATTATTTTGGTTTAAATATAGTACATATTTATATAAATGAATGCTCCTTTATGATATTACTGTCTCTCTCGCTGTTGTGTACAAACTAGCAGCGAATACAATATCTCTTTTAATGGCAGTAGATGCTTCTAACATTTTGGCTTGAAGCTTCGGGTCTCCTATTGCAACGGCGGCGTCTTTTACGTCAATCAATAACTATAAACATAAAAAAATGGTTAGCAGGAACAACTTATAAGTATAGATTATAATTTTCAGTTTTGTTGGTTAACATTATGGAGAAAAAGGCGAAAGATTGAAGATAAAGCTTGAAAAATGTTACATACCTCATGTAGTTGTTGTATACACCTGACTATGATGCCTTCTTGCACATCTGTTAAATCCATAATCTCTGCAAAAGGTTTCTCCAGAGCCCATTCGTATACAACTCTTATTAAACCAAAGTTTAACCTTTCTCCTTGACCTTCAAACTGACTGACCTGTTTATTCAAATCATTACTGAATTAGATCATCATCAATCTGCTCTTATCCCTATGGAACCCTTATAGGATCACTTTGTTGTCCGTCCGTCTGTCTGTCAAGACCCTTTTTCTCAGAAAAACGTGAAGATATCAAACTGGAATTTATATCAAATACTCAAGTCTGCTTTCCCCTGGCGCTGTGAAAAAATCATTTTTTTTAGTAATATCTGACTTAAATAAACTTACCATATATTTAGATTCTATTGATGTTAAATCTTCATCGATTGCTTTGATAGCATCAACACCTTCTTTTAATTTATCAGTCAACTGTTGGCTGACATTTGTCTTAGCTTGGAACACAAAACAACTTAACAAAGCCGCTATCTCAGCTGGGTTTTTATCAGTGAAGACATTACGAAAGACTAACTCGGATATAATAAGTTCGTTTGTCCCCATACCGCATGCTACGCGACCTTTCAATATGACACTGTCATGTTCGTCGATGTAATTTAATTCTCGTAAAACTAAAAGTCTTCGCTGATAATCAGGGTATAAAGCTAAGTTTTCAAATGATAATAATAATTTATATTTATCTCGCTTCCTCTCTGCTTGCTTCCTTTCGTAAACTACCGCGAACTCTGTTTTAAAGTTTGCGATGTCAGTTGATTTCTTTTGAGATTCTAACATGTCCTGTGGAATAAAAAAAATATTAGTTAAACACATTCACTGCTACTGTGGTCTTTTAGTAACTTGTATGACAAGCCGGTGGTATTAAACGTGTTGAGTAAAATAGGATATCAACAACATATATCCATCATCACTTTATTTTGTTGCCAAATGGTTGGTTTCAAAATCTCTGAATAAAATATATAGTCGTCTCTTTCATTATCTTAGACAAAACAGAGATAACAATATGTTTTTTTACAGAGATTTTGGTTTCAGAAACCCACGGTAAGATATCCGTTAGCAATGTGCGAATTTAAATTAGTCAAAAGAACCGTCTTTTGACTAATTTACCGAACTTACGGATACCGATCCGTCATAGAAAATAGCGTCACGGTTAATTGGTACTTTTGTAATGTATTTTACCTTGTATTTGTTCATTTTGTCAAGCGACTGTAGCACTTCTCCAGTGGTGATGGAGAGTGACTGTGTGAGACTGATGCGTTCCAGTGTGCTGGCGCCAGTGCGTACAGCGTGCGACACTCGGGACAGTTCCTGCACTGCGGCCGCACAGCTAGACCCCACCGGTGCGTCTTTGAACCTGACAAGTTACATACAAATATACTTACATAAACAAATTATCTGTATGGATGGATTTTTGTTAGTATTTATAACCTTAGCAAGTAATCTTACTAATATTGTAAATGCGAATGTTTAGATAGATGGATGTTTATTAAAAGGTATCTCCATAACGGTTTAACGGATTTCGATGAAATTTGGCATTATGGTCGAGTCAACTAATCAATCTTTTTCTAATTCCGTGCGGATGAAGTCGCGGTCGACAGCATGTATTATTAGTAAGATCAACTCACCTGGGAATCTGTCTCTTATCCCAGTCTTGTATGATGAGGCTGGCGTCTATTTTTAATGTCATTTTGGTGACGGCGATTATGTTCTTTGGTGCAATGCAGAGTATCGCGTGGTTTAACGTACCTTCTTCAGTACCTATTGAAAAAAAAAATTGTACGGAAATGTGGAGATGTATGAAATATTTATTAATTATTATTAATATAATATCTTACCTATTCCTTCGTACATGGCAGTAAAACTAAGCATCCTGAACCAACTCTCGTCTAAATCAAAATTATATTTGTTAGGGTCTTGTTCAATGGTGTTTAGGACCAACACTTTATATGGAGTTTGTCGGGGACCTGAAAAATATAAGGATTAACAAATTTCCAACCCAACATGACAGTGACAAGCAGAGAAAGAGAGAGAGACAGAGTTCTTTTTCTCTCTTCTCTTTCAAATCGTAACTTATTAGGGTCTGTATACACAAACTGTAGTGGAGAGCAGAGAACATTTTTATCACAAATAAATTTGAGCTTTACATGATTTAAACAAGATTTAATTTTGCTTTTCACATCTTGTTTACACCTGCTACTGGTAAGTAAAGACATGCAAAGGAATATTAAACCCTGTTTCCATCACATAAAAAAATTGTAATAAAAATCTACTTTTTCTGTCCTAGGTCTGTGTGAACAGACCCTTAAACTTTAAAAATAAATCATACCTGTACTGTTCAAATAAATTCCTAGTTGATTGATATAAGGTCCTGCGGATAGTATAAGGATCTTCCCGGGTACTAATTCCTTGGCTACTTTAGGTTGTCCGAGAAGTATTGGCATGATATCATTAAGAACATCAATGTATGCTGCGGCAGTGTCATAAAACGTCGCTAGAGGCGCTAGGTGCGCGGGTAATGGCGTACTGCACTTCTGACTGTATTCTTTTTCAGCTAATTCCAACTGTTTCCTGTGATTGTCAGCTTGACATATCTGATAGAATTCTCTAAATGAACGCTGCATCATACCTTCCACTGATACCGTTGCAGCTCTGGAAAGAAATAAACATTTTCATTTAAATAATTTTACGAATTATTAATAACTAGGTCTCGCCTGCGACCCCGTCTGCGCGGAATTAAAAAAAACATTATGAGTAGCCCATGTGTTCTTCCAGACTATGTTCTATATGTGTGCCTAATTTCATCAAAATCCGTTCAGCCGTTCTAGAGATACATTTAAGCAAACATCCAAACACCCATCCAAACATTCGCACTTATGAGTAAGATTATTAGTGTAATTTTTTATATTATGTGGCAAACGAGCAAGTGGAAGCAACCGCTGCCCATAGACAACCAGAATTGCAGATACGGTGCCGTTTAATCGACACGGGAAAAGTCGCGCAGAAAAAAATTAATTCCTATGCATCTCCTCCACCGTCAAATCCACTTCTACTAAATTTACTTAAAATTATTACCTTAATAGACTGAGTATCATAGCGTAAGTAAGGCGGAACTGGGAAGAAAGTTTTTCAGGGGTGCCCAACATCATCTCCTTTAATTTAATTTGATTTGGCACTTCTTCTTTGCAGAGAATTATGACAGTGCCCGTGTCGTCCAAACCTGGAATAATAACATGAAAGAAATATAGCAATATCTCGTAAACAAGTTAATTTAAAGTGAAAAGAAACTATAAAAAAAGAATATTTTCTGAAATCTCTTATTTTTAAATCTCTTCACCTCGACGCGGACGTCGTGACATCTAGTGTTTTTTCCGGAAATATTTTGCAACTATGGTATAAGGATAATATGTCTGCACACAACAAATACCTTGACAAAAAAAATGGTCCACCCATTTCGGAGACTACCCGGGAAAAAGAATATTTTTTTTGTTGATATGGGTAAAACAATGCAAGTAGACGAAATGTGTATTTTTTTCGATATGACATACAGACAGTTCAATTTTATTAGCTGTATAGCTATGATATAAACAAAATGTTTACCTCTTCTGCCTGCGCGGCCTGCCATCTGTATGTACTCAGCGGGCATGAGGTGACGGCTCTGTACTCCGTCGTATTTGGTGATGTCATCGAATACCACCGTACGTGCCGGCATGTTG